GCAAAAATATTGCAGAATACTGAATATACATTAATGCAATGTGTGACTTATTATAAATAGATAACAACAATATTTTTACATGGTTTTTAAAGATCAAAACGTACATCAAAAACAATTTTTACATATTCAAGCAGAAAGATTATAATTTGAGATTTCATATTTATATTTAGTTAATTCCAGTTTTGTGTAAGCATATATTATTTGTTGAAAATTGAGATTAAAGATTGTTAAAAAAGATGTGAAATATTGTTTTAAAAAATTTAAATAATTAACTTTGCGGTGATACAGAATTTTTTCTAGTCACAATAATTATATATTTTTTTTTAGCGAACCGTACATTTTTTATAACAAATTTATTGTTAATAAAAACTAGCATGTTGGTAAAGATGAGATACATTGTGGTTAGTATTAATGTGTAGTAGATAAGCAATAAAATTATGCTGACCATCGTTTTCATCTATTCACAAATAATTTAAGAGACGATAATAATAGGTATTAGGTACAAATAGTTATATTTTGGTGCCAATATATTAAACTATATTCTAAAAGAAATTCATCATTTTATATATTTTAAAACTGATTTTTTAAAGAATGTTTTAGGTATTTTTCCATTTTTTTTTTTTTTTTTTAGAGTTTTTTGTGATTGTTGAGAGAATTAAAATCCCAGGTCTATTTAATAATAGGTGGTTTGTAACCATTCGCTTAATTATTTTTTAAATTAAATTGAAAGTTTTTACTCTATGCTGTTATTATTGTCTTTGTTTTTATATTTTTATATATCTTATGAATACGAGAAAAATAATTAAAAGAAGAATAAAAATACATTTTGACAAAATGAAACGAGTGACAATGACCATTTTTTGTTTATAATCTTATGAGCTTTAGTTCTATACCTCGTAAATAGCAATACAATATATGTTATGTAAATTTAATTATTGTTCTTTATTATATTATAATTACCTATGTATGTGTTGCATTGAGAATAGTAAAAAAAGTTCAGACAAAATACCTTATGATTCTTATGTGATGTATATATTTTTTAAATTAATATATATTAAGAAAATATGTGGTTAGTATATTACATATTAATATAAGTATTATGTTATAGGATTTAATGACAGTTCCTAATAGGGTAAAGAAATTACATCATTCGCTAGGAATTGTCATAATTTCCTTAGTTTATTAGGTGCAATGTTATCACGCGTCGTTTTTCTACTCTTAATTTAAAATTTGTATGCATAAAAAAAATTTCCGTATCCAACAACATAGTCTATTTAGTAATGTGTATTTTTTAATATAATACGTTTAGTACTTATACGTCCAATGCGTTTAGTAAAAATGGATTTAAGTAATATATATATATTAAAATGAAATGTACATCATTGACTACTGACTGATATCATTAAAAATGATAAAATGTACTAGATAATGATATAATTTCTTTTTCTTTTAAGTTATAACTTAAAAGCAGAACGCAAATTTTAATGCAATCACATAAGTTTTTCCTTTTCACTTTTTTGAATTTTTTTCAGTTATCTTTACAAATCATAATTTGAATCTAATGGTGAAATTTTTTTTTTTTTGCATATTTCTGCATATTTAATGGCTATTGAATATTTTTGCATATTTTTACAAAACTCGAAAGGTATTACATATTTTTGCATATTCATACAAAATTCGAATGTATTGTATATTAAAGCGAAAATTTAAAAAAAATGTATGAAATAATATTTTGTCAAGTAGAAGTATTAAAAATAATTTTGTTGGCATTAAATAATAACTAAAATAAAGGTGAGATTAATAAGTCTACCCATATAATCCTATACATACTTAAAGTAAATTTTAAGTAATTGTCATAATTTATTAAAAATCAAAATTTCTGTAAACATACATAAAAATTTAGAGCTATTCTGAATATTTTTGAGTAATCCTCACAAATCTTTGTGACAAATTTAAAAGACTCTTTAAATTTAATATTTTTATTTTAATCTATATGATATAAATTAATACGTTTTCAACTGAACCCATCAAACTTATTGTATGACGGGCATTTTAAACTTCAAAAATTAGCAACGGTGTAAAATTAAAAATTGTTGGTGTGATAAATTATATTAAACATTTAAAAAATAAGTTATAAACTATCAATGATAATAAAATATATTTTCAGAAAAAAAAATAATAAACAAAAATTTATACAAACTGCTGAATTTGAGAAAAAAATCGTTTTAAGTTTTTATTAAATCAGTATATGTTTTACCTTTGATTAAGTTTGGGTTCTGAAAATAATTATTAATAATTATTACTATTAATACATACATTTTAAACTGTGTTTATAAAAACCTAACAATAAATCTTATCGCTAAATATATCGTTACAAAATTATTTGTAGTTAGTAGAAAACATTTTTATTCTAAAAACTTAATTTTGTACTTACTTCTATCGTAAATAACAATGTCTCCTAAAGTCATTAAGAACGTTCCACGGTTACATTTTATCTACTTTACATTCAAGTTGACACAATGTTACTTTATTCTTGCCTAATTGTTTCCTCTTAATGTGAAAAATATCTAGGTTAACTAAAAAATTACTTTACGTAGTAACTTTTTGTGTTTGGTGTTATCAGATGTCGAACCAGATCATAATAATTCAATTATAACAAAAAGAACTATTCACATTATTAACCTTGGTCTATATTATAATGTATCACTGATACAGTTTGTGACAATGACGTTTTAAATTTCAATCATCTTTATCACCACTTCTTATATATGATGTATCATTAAAACTATTATGATAAAAAGCTTGAAATTATTAATTGTATTTATAATTGTATTATATTTTTAAAGTTTGTTGATATAACGTCTGAGACTGAAAAAAATTTTTAAAACAATAAAAAATGTATATCTAGGTAATATTTCTAAAATTATGACTTGAAAAAGGATTGTGAGAATTTCATAAAAAAAATTATAAGATGTTAAAGAGAAAATTTTCAGTTTTTAAATAATTTAAACCAAGTAATTTATGACAGCAAATTAATTTTCTCTTTTCTAAATTAATTTACACTATAAAAATAACATACATAGTTACAAAAATACCAGTTTTATGTAAACATTGTTGTTAACTATAAAACTCATTAAGATTTGTCGAATTTTAATGACCCCTTGCTGAGAGTCAAAGTTGTTTAATAGAGTGTAGAAAATTATCTTCCAATTATTGTATTACGTATTATATTATTCAATAATAATAATAAACTGTATTTATTATAGTTTAATAAATATATTAAATTAATATCTCTAATTTCGATTTTTGAAAAATGAGAATACATTAAATAGGTATTTAAAGTTCAAGCCAGAGGAAATCGAATTTAAATTAAATACAGAGTAATTGTATTATTGTTATTTTGTTTATATATTATACTGTTTATATTTCAATTTGTATTATTTAATTGTTCGTCATAACGGTGAAAAAACAAAATCTCGTAATAAAATGAATTTTCAATCAATATTTTATTATTAAAACATCTCGTTCATTTTGGATAAATTAACTTTCTACACTTGTAGTGTTCGCACTATGATTAATTACAAAAAATACATAATTATTTATGTATTTTTATATAACCAATTTCAGTGGAAAAATATTAAAATAGTTTTAACAATAGTTAAAATTTATATGAATGCATTTAATTTTATTCAATCTCAAGTTACTAATGATAATTAAGAAAGTTAAAGTTATGGATAAGACGTAAACGCTGAATGTTGATGCGTTGTTAACGCATTAACGTTATAAAAATGAAGCGTTTGATAGGATTTACACACAATGAGATACTTCTTGCCGTGAAAGACATATTTTTAAACGCTCACGGATGTGAACATTTTAATGTTTTTCAAAACAGTGTGTAATGTAGGTATATTTGTGTTAAAATATCCTAAGCAATATCATTTTTTTTTTACTTATATAGTTATATAGCTGTCCAATCTTAAAAATTATTTAAATTTTATCGCAGCAATTTTTTTTATACACAACGATCATGATTTTATTAAAAAAAAAATGTATAAAAATATGTTTTAATAAATTTATCGCTTCTACAGCAGAAATTCGTGATATAAAATACAAAAAGCGTATAATACACTCGCGAAAGTAACGTACAATGAAAAAAATAAACCTAACCGAAATGATCCATCGACGTGTATACAGATATTAGAGTCAAAATGTCAAATAATATACCAAATATGGAGAGAAGAGGAATAAACGTACGTCCCGATGAAACACCTTCCTATATACATTATACATATATAATAAATTATTATGGTTTTAATAACATATTTCGTTAAATTAAATTATCTGGCAATTTAAAGTCAAATGACGACTTTCGCGATTCCTATAGATATAAATACTTAAACGATACACAGTATGTGTGCTACAGAATCAACTTGAACAAATCGCTCAAGGTCGGAACGAATTTCTCGAAGGGATTCGACGCCTCAGCGTCGGGTCGTCACGCCCACGAGTCACGACGACGGTGGCGGCGTCAAACTAGGCGGAAAAAAAAAATTATACGAAAAATTTAGCGTGGTAGACGACCTCATATAATTGGAACGATAAAATATTATATTACTTATGTAGTAAGTATACAAGCCGCGCGTGCCATTGTCGAAGGGGAAAGTGTAGAGGAAACGGAGATAATGTATCGTGATAATATTTATTCGTAGCGTGCAATTCATATGGAAAAAACTGACCGGAAGGAAGGGAAAATCGTCGCGGTACTGTAATAGTATAATATTATCTCGTGGTAGTAGTATTGTTGCAGAAGAAGAGGGAAAAAAAGCGCGTTCACAAGACTGACGGAACGCATGGTAGTATTACAATAATATTATAATATACGCGCGCGTCCTGCCGCCGCCGTTTACCTGTCGCTGCCGGGGTGGGAGGCGCGGCCGTCTTGCGAACACGGGTAAAAACCAGGATGGCGCGCCCGGCCGGGTATCACTCGTCCGCGAACGACCGACGGTCGACGAATACGCCGAATAATATCCGCGTCGTCTCTGTAACACATACTTAGTATATATTAATATAATAATCATACAAGTAATTTCTGTTACTTCGCACATCATACGACATAACATCGGTGCCATCAGCTGAACAATATTAACGTACTTTTATAGAGAATAAAAACTTTACATCCGAGTGATATCGCGCATGACCCGCGACTAAACACTGACCGTCGACGACTGACTGACTTCTCACCGCCCCCTGTAGCGGTGATACGACTCCGAAACCCTTACGGCATCCGCATCCGCAACAGGTAAGTGCAACCTTGAGGCGCACAGTCTGCCAAACTATATAACTTACAAATAATATGATATAATTATACAATTTTAATGTATAATATTATTGTGTGTAATCGTTGTAACTAGATTAATATGACGATATAGGTATATTAAATAGGCAGATATTACCTTTACGCATTGGAACGCATACGATTTTCGTTTACTTCGTCTCTGGTCGTTTTAACCACCAGAGTGTTTGTTTTAAAAATCTGTTTTCATTTACGACTCGTACGTTATGAGGTTTTGTAGCTATACGTCATAATATCTCAAACAATTCCGCCGGGGTCCACAGAGTTAAATACTTATAATAAAGATATCATCTACGTGGATCTATGTGTGTAAACATCATAGGTAAATATGATCTGTATAAACCCATGTACCGATGTCCCACAACTAATTTACATTAATGACGTATTTACGCGTGTTACATCGATTCGGTTGGACACGAGAAATTAATACGAAGTGATGATAGTAATAAGTACCTATACAAATAGTTACAATCTAAATGGCAGCATAATCAAATTCTTGACGTACAGTAAAATCGACATATTTCGGTCAGGGCTATAATAATACATTATGTACTTACCTAACGAGAGAAGAAGTGTGTAATAAATCGAGGGTCGCGTCTGTACTACAGCAGCTGTAGTACTTTGTAAATAGAAAATTTTACTGAATCACAGATAAAATTATTAAATGTGAGTATAGAAGCAAATAATATATACATACTTAATTTTGCCCCGACGTTTCAACAATTACAGAATTCAAAAGTAATCGTGAGTATTAAATAAAACCCCACGCCGATAATAAATATGTACATTTTATAGTTCATTGTTTTAAAAAATGTATTTACTCGTAGTGACTTCAACCGGTATGGTGGTATAGTGTTTGTTTTCGACGAATGGAAAAGTCATGTAGGCACAAACGTATTTCTATACACATTTTATTCATAGTTGTCGATGTCTATTTTATATTTGAGTCGTGTATAGAAAAAACACACATCTGTAAATTTATGACTAGATAATATATATGAAATCGTTGAAATCTTAACAGTCATTAGTCTTCCTCAATCGTCCTTCTTTTTATACTGTTGTAGATAATATAATATTATGCTAGTACCGCGTAGGTAGATTATAGATACATCATACACAAATAATACATTTTAATGACCACTGATTGAGTTTACGAAAAATTGTTTACAACGATTTTTGTGCTTTACTAAATACTTTTCTCAAACGATTTATTGTTTTGAAATTATATTACGTAATTTCATGATTTTTGTTATTTGTTTTATTGAGTATAATTCCCTATAATATATTTTAATATTAAGGAGTAATGAAGTTCAACAAAAAAAATTACTTATACAACACAAAATTGTAATAGATAAATCATATACACAATTTTAAGTTCTTTAAATAAAATTGTTAATTATACTTCTAAGCCATTAATAAATATATTTTATACGCTTAGTATGATAATAGTTTGATAATAAATAATAAAGTCAATTATATTAGAATAAAAATCGATTTAAAAAAATAACTTTTTTAGATAAAAATAATTCATATTATTACTATTTGATTATTAATACGTATATGTATAAATAAATAAATACTTTCTATAATATCTAAACATTATCTAACGCCAAAATTATAAATTGTAATTCTAAAATAATTTTATCTTAGAAAAAACACATTCATTTTTTTAGTTATATTATTATTTTGGATTGTCTGTCAACGAGAAAGATTTTAATTCTATATTCCGTTTTTTTTTTATCTGTCAATTTTGAAATGAATCATACCATCAGTATTTTTTCCACTTCTACATGATAAGTAATAATTTATATATGTTGCTTATTATTTATACATGATTCTCAATTTGTTATAATGATGTATGTTTTTTCTTTTTATTACAATACATTTTTACAGCATGTCCAAACCTCTATTCATATTGATTCTACATGTTTAAAAGTCCAGTATATCATTCCACTCAGATAAATTGCATTAAGGTGTCTTCTGTTTCAGTGATATTCGTGATCATGCATTGATCTAAATATAAGCTATTCGTCTGATTCGAGTACTGAACGCGCGTGAGCGTTTTCGCCTACATGATATTGATGTACTCGCATAACAGTATAATAGAGTATCATCAGTGATAAGTCGTTCTGATCAAATAATTTCATTTAATATTATGGTGTACCATTTAATACATCTAAAATATTATTAAAAGTATTTAATTTTATTTAGTTTCATTTTAAAAATTACCATGTCTTTATTACATCTACCTCCTACCACACACGTATGTAAAAATTAAAATAAACTGTAAAACGACACCCAGATGTCACATGCAAATATAACATGTACGTAACACTGAAGCACTTATAACAATAGGTATAATAGTAATTTGACTTTTCGCATCAATTACCCAAATGTGAAAGTATTGCACTTATTTTCGCTTTGAAACCCTACACTCGCATAACCGTTTAAACACTATTACAATTTTCTATTTTTCCAATGTATAACTGAACACGAGTGTAACAAAAATTAAATTAATATCGAACAATGCAGGCTATCTAATAATATAAAGAAGTAAATTAATTCGGATAACTTGATAATATAGTACCTATGTTTAAAATTAGAATAATTTCTGACACATTGACACAGTGCTGCGATTGTCGTAATTAGATAATCTTAATCGTCAAAGACGAGTAAAGTTTATTGTAATGCGCCGACTCTTGCTGTCTATTATAACGAAAACGTCGAATAAAAAATCGATTATCGGTAAAGTTCTTATAGACGCCACTATACCTCGCTGTCGCCAATCACAGTGTCGCCGTGGTTAATAGCTTCTATACACATATAAGAGGTTACCCTTATATACCTACATACACAATATGTTGTATAGTAACCTTGTTCTTGACTCGTTCCACTGTCTAAACACGGAAGACAGGTTGGGGTTCGACTAAACTATAATCTAACAAAAAATCTTACTCGATTTATTTAATAATTAAGGTTTAGCGTTCACAGGCGTTCTATCCTATTCCCGAGGTTTCAATCGTTTCCAGCTATTCGAGTAGGCATATTATCTGTACATAACACACACATATATATATATAATTCGTTATGTGTACCTAATGAAATAAAAATATAAAATTACATCTGTACAAATGGACACAAAAAAATATAATAATAATGCGGTCAGATCTAGTTTTATTTTTTTCAAATCACTCGATTTTCGAGTGAAAGTATAATAGTGCATTCTGCTGCTTATCCCGTGCACGCATATTGTCGTTATTATATTAACCGTATGTATACAATTGTGTATCATGTATCCGAACACCCATGAATATATCCATTTACACTCTCTAATTGCATTATAACTCAAACAAATTTTCCATGCGTATTTTCATATACACCTCCGTAGTCGGTAGGTAAGCGTATGCGTACGCATACCTATATAGTAGATTTGATATTGTTTCCCTCGTAATAATTTCACTTTTCACTAAACCGGTCGCCTGCCCTTAACTGGCAGACGCGATCGCTTTCTACATATATGCGCTCGCCATATAAGTATAGTATATTATGCATTTACGTATATAATGTATACCTAACATAATATGCGTAATGCGTGCATCTGTAGGTAAATTGATTTTTTCGGCTTGCGCGGTATGGCGATGACGTATATTTTCGTCCGTCGGAAAGTTTTCTTCGGCGTTCTCCGTGTCACTGACTAGATTACAGCAGTATAATACCCATGTTTGGAGCCACCCAACGCGCAAACCCGCACACTCGCGCGTACACGTACACAGCATATACGAAACTATCTGTATCGTAATCGTGCTCTGTAAACCTTTTCGCCGGTTTTCACGTTTTGTTTCCTATATAAGAATACATGTTGTGGGAAAACGAATAGCTTCTGACCCAAATTGACGACCAAGCGCATAAAAGGGAGATGCATGCGAAATGTTTTCGCTGCGCGATCTTGCAACGATTACGATCTACTATATAGAGTGTATAGTATATAGATGGTACATGCTTGAACATTTAAAATAGAATAACTATACGTTTTAAAGTCTACGAAGGCATACGGATGAAAGAGTTTAACGATTTTTCCGTAACACGGCTCGTTAGTAGTTATTTATATATACACATGAATTTTAAAGGGTAGTGCCAATATGTTATGTACATACGACAACGACAACGATAACGATTTATTGGACGCGTATTCGGAGCGCATATATAAGGTACACGTGAACGTTGGTTCAAATATACCGTACAACCAATGCGGTCTCCCATTTTTCCGGATTATAAATAAATAGAACTTACATACTGTATAGTTAGACAAATATTGTTTTAAAAATTATTGGTTTGAATACCGTACTATAATGCGGTCGTCTACGTTTTCCGGTCATGAAATAAATATACTCATAGAATTTATTGAACCAATATATTTTAATGCTGTATTCTGCGCGTGGTGTGTATACAGACAATACATTTTTTTTTTTTCTAAAATAGGTTCAAGTTATTTTTTACGTCACTTAACACCGTCGACTATATTAAACTATAATAGACGACGACGAAGTTGGTGATTCGAAACAGTGTCTCATAATCAATTAGTATTTATAATAATATAATGTTGCAGTGAGTCACATAATAACGTTCGTCTTAAATCACTTACAAATATATTTTAACAATAACAATATAAATAAGTTTCATGTAAATTCTTTACTTAACCTGGTTCAATAAATATATTGATTAAAACCGTTTTTTCTTTGCGTATCATGTAAATGATATTAAAACATTTAAATAAGCCAACGATCTCATTGACTATATTTCGGTTTTATATTAAAAAATATCGGACTTCGGAAAATGTATTGAAATGACCCGAATTTTCTGGATACACACAAATTGCGTTCTGATAAACGTTATAGACATTCGTTAACGTCGCCGACTGCCACTACAGAAGTGTCGATTGCCATATT